AAAAGTTTAAGAACTTAAATATATCACTGTGCTTAAAGTGCAGATACTATTAGCGCCAATGATCCTTGTTATTAGTTTAGCTTGAGTTATATACATACTGCGAAATAATTTTTTGTCTACCAGTCAGTATAACAATGTTTCTGACAACCCAGCCAGAAAGCACTTAAGGCGCAGACCACCTCCCAAGAGATGGTGGCACACGCAAACAATCTCTCACCGGATTGTTAGGCACGGCACGCAATGTTGAGTAAAAGAATTAGGGCATGTTCTTTTGTAGAATTTGAGTTAGGATGACTTTAAGTGTAGATTTTGAGTTTGAGTTATAATTTGAGTTAAAGTTGTAACTTAAATTTGTGTTTGATTGTGTACATTTGAGTTATAGTTTAAAATGAGAATCTATTTGAAGTTGTGTTTGTTTATACTAAGACTTGAGTTGTGAATAGTGAACATAAATTTTCTCTTTTTTGAATTTATTTGATTTTATGCAATTGAATATGAATACTTAGAATTAGATATAAATAATTCTAAAAAATGGGTAATTGGGTAATTTTAAAAATATATAAATAAAAGTGAATCATCCAAAGTACATAAGTAGCAACAAGTTGAAAAATAAAGTAGCTTTTTTTTTCATTAAAAAAATTAAAATACCATAAAAATAAATACTAGAATATCAATTTCCATTATAATGGAGAGTAAAAGGACAACAATAAATACATTCCCCCTATTGGTAGGATGATAAATTATCGCCATTTGATCTTGATCCAATGGCTGTGGTGAGTGAGCTAAAAAATAAGCCTGGCGATGAGAATGCGGATTACGCTGGGAGAGAGAGTTCGCGGAGAAAGAGAGAGTTCACGGTGAGAGAGAGGAGAAGCACGCGAAGGGTCAGGAATCAAAACACTGTAGAAGTGCATAGGAGTTACTCGAGTAGGTGGGAGAGGATGAACTCGAAAATGGGTGAGTAACTCGAGTTCATTTTTGAGTTTGGTTTCGAGTAAGTCGACGCCGAACGCATACTTAGGCCGAATTCATCACTCGAGTGGGCCTTTTTCGAGTAAATGTAAGCAACCGAACATGGCGTGAGTTTTTAGGTATGTTATTTTTGCAACTCAAATTACAACTTAAATTTTTTAAATATGTGAGAAAACACTATAATAAAAAAGTTGAGATTGAGTTTTTATGAGAGAAAACATTATAGCAAAAATATTTAAGTTATGAAAAGAACAAAAATGAACAATTAATTGTATAATTATTAATTCGAGATAAATCCTAGTGATAATTAGTTATTATTAATTATTGCATAGGATTGTGTTTTGAATTAACATCAAATTGGGTAGTTATCTATGTTGGAGATAATTACTAATTCAAATTGAATTAGGATTTGAATTAGTTAATTATTTGTTGTATGTCCAATTATGAAATATAACTCTAACTGTAATATTTAATTCAAAACCGAGTAGGGGAAGTGTTATGATAAAGGCTAATTACTATAATTAAGATCATTTAATTAAGTGACCTCAAAACTTTTTTTTTTTAAAGGACATATAGCATTAGCCCAACTACCACTTGACAATTTACTTAGATCATAGATGAGGAAAGAAGACAAATACATTTTAGAGTACATGAATTTAGATTTTTATCCCTTATTCTTGATTAATATCCTTTTTAGTTAAATAATTATATTAGTCAAAAGAGTATAAATTAAGAATAAGAAGTAAAAATTTAGACTCATGCACTTTAAAAATAAGTTCAACAATTTTCTCATCATAGATAGAACAAACAGAAACATGTCTGTATTTTCATCAACTCGCATTTAAGTAGTCTAAAGCCATGTGAGCCGAATCATATTTGACAGGCCAATAAAATGACATAAATTCAATCTCACTGTGACTATGAGAATCTATTCCTAGATTTTAAGGCATGAGATTGAAAATTAAGACATAATTAAAACTAAATTAGTTAACTCAAAATAATTAGTTATTTCCTTAATCAAGCTTAACAATATCAACGGTTCAACAATGTTAGTTATTCTAACTTTTGCAGGATTTATTCTCTTAATCATTCGATCTCATGAATCTAATGTGAGTTAAAACAACGTTCTATTCATTTAACTAACGATACTATTAATTAACTTGCCTAGGGATTGAAACTTTTAATAACGGATGGTTCTATTCATACTCTCTTTTTTACTCTCCGCATCCCTTTATAACTACACACTCCTCATAATTTTTAAATTATTAAAATTTCTTTTTACACACCCTATTATTTCAAAATCACCCCTAATTATTTCCATAAAATTATTAAGAATAGTTTTATTCACTATCCTCATCTTTTCTCTATGCACCTACTTTTTTATTATCCGCACCTGCTTCTACCTACACACTCCACATAATAAATTTATTTACTTTAATATTATCATTTATTTATCTCTCTTTATTTATTTATTTATTTATTGTTGAAGCTTTGAGAAAAACGGCAATTGAGTTGCATTATATTGATTGAATACTGAACAGACATGTACAATGGCAAATGAAAGTGCAATAAGATAGATGAGCACAAGCAGCATTTAAAAAAAGAACCAAGAGAAGAAACCACGATCATTCCACATTATAAAAAAAATGAAAGAAAAGGTGAAGTGATTAGCTTAAAAAATTAATTAGCAAACAACGCAAACCGAAAAACAAAAAATAAAAGAACAATCTTCATACGACAAATAGTAAAGAAAATTTAATATACATTTATGTAGGGGTATTCACGGATTGTAATCTGCGAATTAGGGGTCAATCTATCGAATTTTGTGGATTGGATTCTCAAACTCCATAGATTAGGACCTTTAAAATTATAATACATTCATATAAAATAAAGCACAAAATAAAGTCTTCATCATCAATATTACTTTAAAGTTTAAAATTTGCAACATCCAACACTCAACACCAAAATAAGCACAGCATAACATAAAATAGTTGAACAAATTCTACATTGTTATAACCCAATTAACAATGACAAACTAAATTCAATAAAACTCAAAATGAAATTAGAACTTAATTTAATACACACACATATATAATGGATTCGTGGATTTTGTAGATTGAGAAATGCTCAATCTGTAAACCAATTCAAAACTTTCGGATTAAAATTTTCTCAATCTGTGACCAATCAAAAACCCCTTTCAGTCTAATCTGATCTGCCAGACTGGATTAGATCGGCGGATCCATCAGATTCATGGTTCGTGAACACTATTTTTTTTAGAATAATCATTGAAATGCAAAAATTAAGATTTTGTTATGGATTTTGAAATAGCAATAATTTATAATATGAGAATATGACATGTGGGGTATGGAGAGAAAAAAATTGTTATGGATTTTTTTTTTTATAATCATAGCAATAATTTATAATCATAGCAATAATTTATAATCATAGCAATAATTTGTTATGGATTCATGGATTTTGTTATGGATTTTTTTTAACTTCAGTTTAATATACTAAATTAGTTACTGCATCTTTAGTCTATGCAGAATTCAAACTATTAAATTATTTGATTTGATAAAATTTAGTATAAGCTTGAATAATGATCAATTCATTTATCGGTTGAATAACGATACTAAGTCGTTATCTTACCTAGGTTTTAGAACTTTAAATAATTCAATCAACGGAATCTAATATGAGCTTAATAACACTTCAATGTAACAATCGAAGAACATTTGTTAGTTATTTCCTTAAGTAAATACTTAGCAATTTAACAATGTCAGTTATTTCTACTTATGCGGAATTCTTGACCAAAAAAAAGAAAAATGAGATTCAAATTTTTAAATCATTTAATAATCTGACGTGGCGTTCAAATTTTTCAATCGTATATGATACACGTGATATGTGAGTTTAAATAACGACTAATTAATTTAACACTTGAATAACGACACGAGATTTTTTAGGGCCCGTTCACTTCGCTGATTCGAGTTGAGATGTGATTTTATGTGAGAGCTTTTTACTGTAGTAAAAAAGTTAGATGTGACTGTTTTTGAGAACTTTTTACTGTAGTAAAACTCAAATTCTAAACTTGAATTGGTGAAGTGAATGTGGCCTTAATAATTCAATCACTTGAATCTAGCATTAGGGTTAACAACACTTCAATCCAACAATTAATATTCATTAGGACCCATCCAGTGAATCTAATATTACCTTCAATACAATCATCAAGATTTGCAATTTTGTTGCAAACAAATACAATATGCGCTTAAACAGGAATTAATTTGAAAGTTTTATCTGTCATTGTGAATAACGTCAGTTAAAGAACTTAAAAATTAACGATTCTGTTTATTTTATCGATTTGAGTTTAAAATTTAAATTTTATTATAGTAAAAAAATCTCAAAAATAATCACATCTAATTTTTTTACCATAATAAAAAATTATCATATAAAATTACATCTCAATTCAAATTAAAAATTTAAATTAACTAATTAAACGGCCCACGTAAACTCTGGCTCTAATTTTGACGTTACAAGACTGACGCATTTGCTGAAATTTATGTAACACGTTGAGGTCAAAGAGTCAAGCTGTAACGATGGCTTTAGGGAGCGAAACGCCTTTCTGGTAGGGTTGTTATTATCCACTAGACGTGTACTCGTGGCGCCATATGGTTGGGTGAAACTTGGATGGGACCCACCTCCGAGACTGTCTCTGCCACGTGTCTTCCCTCTGTTAACTCTTCGACAGGTTGAAATTGAATTGAAGGACTTTGAAACAGAAAACAGGTTTTTTTTTTTCTTTTTTATTTTTAGAAAATGAAAAGAATCACACAGATAAGAGAAAGAAAATATATTTTGATTTTTTTGTTAAAAAAAGATTTGTTTTATGAAGTTTTAGGGGGTTTGAGGAGTTTCGGTTTTGTGTGCTATCATTCACGTGTCCGTCTCTCTCTCTCTCTCTCTTTCTTCTCTGTGTTTTTCTTCTCTCTCTCTCTTCCTTTTTTTTTTCTTTTATATTTTTTTCCTTTTTCTCCCATTCTGTTTGGTGCGTGTATTTTCCTTTCCCGTGCTTTCTGTTTGTTTCTCAGTAAAATCAAATCTTATCGCCGTTTCTTTTTCCGTGACGGTGGTTTTCGAGTAGAGCAAACGCTCGCTCCCTCCTCGTATACGTGTATATATATGTGTGTGTGCATATCTTTCTTGTTCTACAAGAGCTGTGTTAGAGAGAGAGAGAGAGAGAGAGTGACACAAGACTTTGAAATTTGATTAGCTGTTTGGAGAGAGAGAGAATGGAGGGAAAGAAGCAGGTCGGTTCGTCTTCTTCTTCCTTCACGACTGAGCTGTTTGGTTCGAAGGATTCATCGTCTTCATCCGGAATTTTCGGCTCAATCTTCCCTCCTCCATCGAACTCGAAGGTTTATATACATACATACATACATATATATTCCATTATTTGTTGTATTGAATTACGTTTTGAGCTTTTTTTTTTGGTGCGTTTGATTTTGATTTTGATCGTATCAAGTATTATTGTGTTATATCCATTGATTGTTATTTTCTCGCGCTTGTTTGATATTTTCTTGTTCCCTGCATTTTGCGGCTCTTCTTTGAGTTTTCATTTTGTATTTTCTGTCGTTCGCTAATCGGGACAGTAAGATTTCATTTCTACGCCCTGAAATATATGCTGTTTTTTAAGTTTATTTTTTGGTCTGAAATGTTATTGCGTAGGCATTTAGTACAATATTTTTGAGCATTAGATCATATAACATCAAGATTCAAATAAAATTGCATGCGAACCTGACAAAATTGCATGCAATTTAGTGGAATCTGATGAAAACCCGACGGCTCAGAAATATATATAGATTTCCTTTTCCTTCTGTTGTAGCATAGGTTTTTTTATTTTTTTATTTTTTTTATTTTTTATTTTATATAGAACAGATTCCTCTTTATGTGTCCATTGGGATTTTTGTTTCTTTTTTCCTTTTTCTCAGTGGAGGAATTTCAGCCAATGAGGCTGTGATGATTAGATTAGGGAGAGCTATGCATCTGGTGGAGTTAGTGTTTTTCTCTCTTTTTTTCTTAATCTGTTCATTGCTTGAATAAAATTGTTTTCTCAAGTGTTTTCTTTGGATTTTGGACTTTTTCCCCTCATTTTGTTTTAGAACTTTGTGAAGATTTTTTCCCCATTATTTTCTTGTTTAACAAGCCATGAGACTGATGTTGCTGATGGATTCAGGTCCTAGAGAGAGAGTCTCTGCACTCTGGAACGCCTGGGAAGAACGAAAACTTTGTGAATAAATCATGCAACACCAAATCTGGAACTGCAGGTTTAGTGCTATTTTCTAAAAGTTTTGTTCTCCAATATTTGCTTCTTTCATTGAACTGTGCTGTTTTTCTTTGTTCTTTAGATCTTCTTGCTGTTTTTTACGTATCTGCATTACTCATTCTGTTTGGACTTTCCTTAGGTTTTTAAATCTTTTCATTTACAATTTGGCTGCTTTTGCAATAATTACAAATCTTTCTAATTGGTAAAAAAAAATAAATAAATAACGGAAATCTGTCGGTTGCGATTTCTGTTGATATTCAAAGGGATAAAGTGTCCAGTAATGATAATTTTGTGGAAAGTAGTTAAAGTTTTACAAACTATAGCGAAATCAGTTGGCCGTTAAGACAGCATTCGTTACTCTGTGCTTAATTCATAATTTCTAGTTCTGATTAGGTCAAATGGCCAAATTACTGTGAAAACGTTACAAGACGAAAACGCCAAAGGGGTAAAAGTGTAATTTTTCTTCTAAATATGTGAGCTAGCTAAGTTGGTAAAGTCTCCAAGCGTCGAATCTAAGGAATCCCATCCTTTCCCGCCATACTCGTGAATAAAAAAAGAATAAATAAAGAAACAGAAAAAAGGAAGAAAAATTGCATGTCTAAAGCAGTTATCCTTGCCTCACATATTTAAATCTCACTAAAATGTGGATTTCTCCAATTTTTCAGAACATGGAGGGAGATATTATAAATGAGTTGTAAATTGCATGCGCTTATTTGTGCTAAAAATTGTCTCCTTCACTGTATACTCTGCTGCAATTGCAGATGACGCTTTCAGCAAGGAAAGTGAGAGCCAGAGCCAGCAAAATAGGGACACCACTTCCAATTACTATGAGCAAAGAGTACAGCAACCATGTCATCTCAGTTCATCAATCTATTATGGTGGTCAGGACATCTACTCTCGTCCCCCGGGTGCAGAAAACTCTACTGTGGGCATCTTTTCCTTAGTTCTTGTTAGTTACATATCACGGTTAATTATTTAATCATAAAAAAGACATCAATTAAGAAGTAGTTGTCAGGTTGAGGATTCATTTTGAAGCGTGTGTGAGAGTACTTGGACTAAGGTGCAAGTTAGGTTTATTTTATGGTCATGGGATAGGAATCTTGTACAGCTAAAGAACATAATTAAGTGTTTGATATTGGTTGATATCAGGGCGTGTGACAATCATCTCGCATAGACAAATAAGCAATCAAACCAAATTCCTCTCTTTCAGAAGAAGGATGAGGAGGATGTTTTGTAGGAAAAAAAACATTCCTCTAATCAACATTAGGAAATATTACACCCCATGATGTTTTTTTATACAATATGAATACGAAATGTTGTCATGTTTTCTGCAGTACAAGAAAGATGGGACTGAAGATGATTCAGGAAGTGCTTCAAGAGGAAACTGGTGGCAAGGTATGCTACTTTTATTCTGATACTGTTACTTGATCAGGCATTAAAAAAAAAAAAAAAAAAAAATCTTCCAATGCACTCACATTTATGTTTCTCTAATTTTTATGTCCACAGGCTCTCTTTATTATTAGGAGTGGCCTTGTCCAAACCATACACTCAGCAAGGTATTTTGCTGTTTCTGAAACATTTATTTCTGGCATTTGGTAAAATCAGAAGAGTTATTTCTTTCTGTCCTAATAAATGTATTTCAAATTGCTGCTGCAACTACAGTTCTATTACATCTTTAATCATTTGTCATTTGGTTGTGTTTAATTGCATTAGAATAGGATTGATGCTTGGGCAATATACATAGAAAATATATTAAACAGTCTTGAGTTTTCTTTCATCTGATAAAGCTATTTATCTATATAAATGCTTATGCAGGTAAAATAAAATAGGAAAATAGCATAGCAGCAGTTTATATAAAGATAGATGATAGCCGTCCGATCGCTGTTGGAGCTGGTTCTTTTCGCCCGGCCAAACGACAGAACCTTATATGAATCAATAGTTATATGTATCTGTTTTTAATTTAAGCTGTAAAGGAATATTGAACTTGGCATTTTCCTGTAAAGTTTGTATGGTTTTGTGAGCTAATTTATCATGCGTTCTGTGGTTGAGACTTTGCATCCTAAAGGGGGGTGGAAAAAAAAGGGCCACGTTATTTATCTTTTAATGGGTGGCTGAATTTATTCTCTAGAATTCATATTTGATGTTTTCCATTGTGAATTTTAATTCATCCAAGCCTTCTCAAAACTGACTTGAGAGTTTGTTTTGACATCCTCTCTTTCAGGATAAATCTACCCTTTTCATGTCAGTACATAGAATGTTTTATGATCCTATATTTGACACTTTTTTTTCCTTTAAATTATCTTCTTTTCCCACCCTGATTCCCTAGTTTTTCTGGAATCTGAACCTATTGGATGTTGATGTCTGAAAGCAGACAATCAGATATTCCTCAAATCAAATGGTCAAAAACCTTTTTATTCTTGACACTCTGATTGCATTAGGCCTTGGTCTCTTTTCTTTACCTCAAAACAATTTAGATTCTGTGTGACAAACTGTTGAAATGCCCATTCAAAAGGGGTGTGGCCCACTTGACACATATTATCTTGTGAACTGTCTTACTCTGTCTCCAAACTGTCCTTTCCATTGCTTATCCAACCTTTAAAGATTTTCAGTTGAGGTCATTCTCTATCCATTACGTGACTGACCCACCACTTGAAAGAGAAAAGAAAAGAAAAAGAAGCAGCCGTCCTAATCTCATGTGTGGTCGGGTAGTGCTTTCTCATGGTTGTTCAAAGAAGATTTTAGATGCAGACAAAGACACTGCAACCACATTTTCTGAATGACTGCCTCCAATAGCACAACTGTGAGCCGTTTCGACCTCGATTTCTCATCTGGTAAACTGGGTTTTGAAAGTTCTCTTCTTTTTAGCTGGAGTAATGTTATAGGGCATCGGTGGTGCTAAACACTACAATTTAATAGAAAGTGGATTCCGCAACGTGAGATCCACAGGTGGCGCCCACCTTCTAATATAAATGGTGGTATTGATAGTGTCCTTAACAATTTTTCTTTAGCCAATTCCCTTAGGCATCGTTCATTTCACCGATTCGAGTTTTACTATAGTAAAAAATTATCATAAATAATCACATTTAATTTTTTTTTACTAGTTCTCACATAAAATTACATCTCAATTCGAATTAAAAACTCAAATCAACGAAGTAAACGGGCCTCAATATATGTTCTTTTGTTTTTTGTTTTTTATTTTATTTTTTCTCACTGTTTTATATGAGAATCAGACAAATTTGCTGATACAGAATGCAAAAGACTAGAGAACTGCGTAATTATCTGAATAGAGAATATGCATAGTTTTTATTTAAGAACTAAGAAGCATACAAGCTGACACAAGCTGCTAGCTTTTAATTTACCCGAATAGTTTTCGTGGTCTCTACTTACACTAGTATTAGCTAATAACAGCCTTAGTGCGCCCCACTCCGTGGACTTGAGCTCTACATCACACCCCATCATCTTCATGGCAATGTGTATGCTGCAAATATTAACAATTTCATTGTTAGAAAAAAGAACAATAAAACCAGGGGAAAAAAAAAGGTTAGTGAGAGAGAGAGAAGGGACTCTGTTCCAGTTGATCCTGATACATTAGAAATTGTCATTTTGAACTTCAGATTATAGTATTACAATCAAAAACATGTAAAGATAATATAGAATGGGATAAAACTCTGACGATTCATAAAATTCTATAGGCAAATTTTTTTTTTTTTTTCTTTTAATACTCGATGACAAAATTTCTCAATAAGAAAAACTTTATAAGAGGAAACAAGAAGAGAAAAATGGAGATGGCATAAGCACAAGGTATTACTCACGTCCACACTTGTATCCCACCGGACGGTTGGCGAATTTGCAGCGTTTGGGGATAGTAATGGCAACCACAGGGTTAATCCCAGAGCTCTTGGCAGTATCAGAAAGCAAAACAGCACAGAGACAGCTGGGATTCTGGCCTATTTTCTTCACTTGAAGACAGCAACTCTCCGACACCGCGGCTTTCTCGTCTTGTGCAGCCACAGCACACGGAGCCAGCTTCATCGCCTCATTGTCCGGTGAGGACTTTCCACAAGCACTTGTTGCCCCATAAGCACTCCCAAGACCAACACTGCTGATGATCACTACAAACAATACCAGAATGCAAGTGAACTTCATTGTCATTGTTTGTTCTTCTGAAATCCTAATTGTTACCTTAGACAATGATAATACCTTAGACAATGTTACGAAAATTGTCACCTTGAACACTGGTTTTATACTGCAATAATGAGGCTAAAAACAAGTGCGTTTGTGTAGTCACCCACTGCGTGGTAGTGAAGTGGAGCTAGCACTAGAACAAACCAACAAGGGACAATTTTACTAATATGAGGATGTCCGCTATGATTTGGTTCTTTGTATTGTCGATGTTTTCCAGATGTAGCCATTACTGATTGGGGTTGGTGTGTCCACTATGATTTGGTTCTTTGTATTGCCATTGTTTTCCAGATGTAGCCATTACAGACAGTGTAAGAACCGGACAGAGCTTGAGATCTAGCCACCTCACTCACTTTTTTAGAACTCCATTACCGACAAAACAATGGAGCCAACAATCTGAGCCCATAAAGCTGGCAAAAACCACTGCTTTCCAACACGTCACTAACTTGAAACTTCCTTTACCAGTTTGCTTTTCCTGGTTTTTATTTTATGATCACTCTCCGCTACTAAAAGCGAAGAACCTTTAGCGAGATGAATGAGACTTTTAAATCATAGATTAAAATTATTAGATTAAAATTATTTTTAATTTATGTGTAATAAATTATGAATTATGATTTAAATTATAGTACGAATCTCCTAACTAAATAACTCTAAAAAGACCCGAAACATAATGATGTCGTCCAAAAAAAAAATAAATAAATAAAGAAAAAAAAAACGCCGTTGCCGGGGATCGAACCCGGGTCACCCGCGTGACAGGCGGGAATACTCACCACTATACTACAACGACCTGAGATGCTAGGTTTCAATTTGTTGAATTACTAATTTGATAATTACCGCTCAACATCTTTTTTGCTTTCATCTTGTTATTATTTTTGAATTAACTAAAAAAATTTCTTCTTCAGCTATAATCCTTATAACAATAATATACGCTCCAATCTTCAAAAAATAACACTCATCCCTCGGATTTATAAAATATCAACAAAACAACTACTTATGAAAATTATTTTTTAAGAAATAATAGTTTCTCCTCTTACTACCGTGTAACTAGATAAGGAGGTTGTTCACAAAATTGTTCAACGGCCCTCTTAAAAAAATCATAAAGGAGTCTATGATTTTTGGTAATAGTTCACAGATCAAGGGCCAACAAATATTAGATTTTAAAGATTAGGAAGCATATTGATATAAGAGTTATATTTGAGAGGAAATTTTTATAATTTTTTTTTTTTTTTTTTTTTTTTTTTTTTTTTGCCCCTAGGCTCATAGTCATAGATCGTGGTGATATTGCATTTCCGATCAATGTGACTAGGATTTTATAGGTTTCCAATTGTGTTGGGAGTTTGGAGAAGTCCGGAGTGTATAAGAAGAACAAGAGAACGAGAGAATCTCCAAAGCACTCCCGGGAATGTAAATGAATGAGGATTCAACTAGTTATGAACAAAGAAACGAAATATTGGCTTCTTTCTTTTTTTACAATCCCAGTTCGACTTGAGTCAGTCAGGAACAAACTCAACTCATCAACTCATCACTATTACAAGCATAAATTCTAAGACCGGCATTTTGAAAAAACTATAGTACCTTGGGACCTTTTCCATTCTGAAATATACCTACTATGCCAATTAAAGAAGACATTACAGAGCTAGTTCTGGAAGAGAATACTACATATTTTGGAAAATGCCATCATCAGAATTCATTCTCAGATATCATCCCTCTCAAATCGGTCCCGCATTGATGGGCTTGTTGTTTTTCTGGAGTCGGAAGGTTCTGTTCCTGCTTGAGATCCAGGTATGATCCCATGCGTAGTCTTTGATATTGAGCCTGCTTTTCCATTAGAACTTCCAAAAATGTTTCCTTTTGTCTCAATGCTGAGATAATCTGTCAAAACCTTTTTCACACCTAGTCCGCGCTGGGGAATCTTTCCGCTCGTGATAAACGGAGATCTATCCCCTCTAGCAGGGCTAACTAGACGCGCAGGAGAAAAGCTTGGTGTAGTGAAAGCTGTTTTGTATGGAGTACATGGAACAGGCACTGAATATGACATTGGAGGACCATTCTGAGCGAGCAAACCAACTTTCGAGATCGAACAGAACTGATCAGAATGTTTGGTCAAGTCGTCAACATAAAGAAGATCGTCAATACGTGCCACAATATTAAATGCAAGGCTCTCCAAAACTCTTGAATAACTCTCCAAAATGGATTTCCCAACATCCTGAAACATAATTTGATTTTATGAAACTACGTATGGAGTTGTACAAAAAGGCATCAACTATAACAGAACACATACAACTGCAGGGAAGGACAAACCTTATTGTACTGGATTTTGCTCATATCTAAGGCCGTCTGTGGAAGACCTGGGAAGCGTTGTTTCAAGCAAAGAAGGAGACTTTCTGCTCTTTCTGCAAGTAACTCCCTTTTCTCTGCATCCATCATCAGCTCTTTGACCATTTCCCATGACGATCTTGAGCTGGATCGTGATGTATTGCTGGCAGGTTTAGAGTTGACTTTTCTGCGCCACATGTACATTGAGGCCTCTACTCGGTTAGCGATCTCTATGGCTTGATGTTCAGATGACAAGTCAAGGCAATCCAGTAGACATTCAGGATAAAATTGCTCTGACGAAATATATCGATATATAAGATCTCCCAGGCAGGCTTTTCCATTCTGAAGTCAAACCAGCAAAACAAATTCAAGTTTAGCTCACATAACCAATTTAAGGGCAAAAGAAATTATCAATTTCATACCTTTGGAAGAGATTCCAGATATGATTCAGGGATTCCCATATCAGCCAAAGTAATACTGTTGATAGCCATTGCAGCTTTCAATATTTGGTTTGTGCAATCACGCTTGTGCTGCAATTGTTTTCTTGTATCTTCATGGAGGCCACCTGGAGGAACTCGGGGCACAGGTAGCCACCACTTTTCCTCCTGGCGCTTAAGTGTTCTCCGGAATGAGGATGATCCATCAGCATCTGGGGCCAAAATCCCTTGGTCCACATACCAGAACTCCGTATTCTCAAAATCGTCTAGTATCTCCTGCAACAATTGGGGTCAAAATTTTGTAAGTGATCTCTCAGACCAAGTCTCGTCCAATTTTGAAATTGACAAAACGTTGGAGTATCTTACAAGTAGCATGTTATCCAATTTACGAAGTGCGGGAAGATTTACATAGAGATCCGCACGAGGTCTGCAAGTCATGACCTGAAGCACAAAGTGAACAATCAGTATGTAGAGAAGTTAAATGTTAAAAGTACCAAGACAAGTAAACTGAGTTAAAACCTTAAATCCAAGTAAGTAGGATTTCTAGATATTCCTCTCTCGTTCATCGCTGAATCCATGGTCATTGTTTCCAAGTTAATTTGTTCACAGGAACATGCATATATCATTTGGTTTTTAACCCCTAAGCTGATGGTTTCTTAAATTTTCATATACTAGCCTAACTTTCATTGTTCCTGATTGCAGGAGTATTTGAGCACAAGATCGCCTCCAAATTAAGAGGAAATTTACTGTTTCGCAAAAAAAAGAAAAGAAAATATAGATGGAATTTACATGTCCGAACACACATAACTGTCATTTTAATAAGCATACATCTGAACCTAACAAATAAATAATTCATACTGCAGCCACACAAAAGGAAATCCAAGCTCTTTTACTACATTGAATTAAATTTTTTTTTAGAACTTCCGTTGATTAAATATCATATAATTCCTTGAGACATTTGCTGGTATGTCATCCGAATTTAAAACAAACTTAAGGCCCGAGCCTGAGCTCTTGCTGCAGCCATCTTACGCCCTATCTCTAGATAAGAGCTGTGTATGTGGGCAAGCATCTTTAGAGAGAGGGAATTCACGAGTGTACTTCAAACATATGTCACTAGTGGAAAAAAGTATTAAGTATAAATAGAATAAGTCGAGGAGTAAAGTACTAATATAGTGTAAATCTGAGGCTTTATCAAAAGAGAAAGGAAAGTTGTACAAATCTACACTAATTTTGTGAATTAGCCATGCTTGACTTCTAGCAAACCACATTTTCATAATAGTTGCACATATCTTATAAAAAATAAAACAAACAAATTATTGTTGCACATGAATTATAGATTGAAGGCTAACAAACTCTATAACTCCAAAAACTTATCCTGAAATCGTATTATACCTCGAGTTTGCTTCCATCTGGAAATGTCTGCCAGGAAGGTATCAACTCAACGATGTGATCGCTCACGCAAAGAAGCCATTCCATCTCTCGTCGCCACATGAGCTTCTTCTCTTGAGGCAAAGGTTCAAGCCTCCAAAGTTGCCCAAATAAGGTAGCTACAAAACAAAAACAAAAAAAAAACAAAAAAAAAAAACAAAAAAGAAAATGAAATGCAGTAATTTAGTAACCATACACATAACACTAAACTTTCTTCAAAACAACAAAGCAGTCGAAAGAAGGAAAGAAAAAAAAAAGAAGTTAAGAATACCACAAAGATTAGTAATGGCATTTGATATAGCCAATGCCGTAGAAACCCCATTTCCAGAACCGGACATATCTTCTCCAAGCAGCAATTTCGAGAACCTTTCCTTCATCAACTCAATCTCTACATATCCACAACCATATCAAATCATCAAACACATTGTAATCCATACAAACATAACATTACAAAAATCGACAAGAAAAAAGGGGAAAAAAAAGTTACACACACAAACACACCTGAAATTTCTGATCCTTTTTTCTCTCCGGATTCATCACCACATTGACTGGCGCAATCTTGTGCCTCGGGTTTCTCAACAGGCCAACCCAATGTCGTCGGAGAAGAAGACGATTCCTCGGAGCTACTATGGCTCTGTTCCTCTTCATGTCCTGTCGTTTCCGACGTCAGAAAATCAGAACTGGAACTACTCTCACGACCCTCTTCCGCAATCAAATCCCCAAATGTCTCAACTTCATTAGCATTCTCACCAAACCCTTCATTATTCCCATTTTTCTTCTCGCCCAGACACTCCATTACGGCCCCCCTTTCTTCTTCTTCTTCAAGAAAACAATAATCTGAAACAAAGAAAACGGAGTTGTTCACCACATTGCCATCGAACTCAACCCTTCTCGAGGAACAAAAAAACCCATTGTTCGATAACCGAGCTTTGCGGTACAAGTTCCGTAGATTCTTCGACACCCAAAACCCGAAACCGGAAAATGGGTTCCGACAAAGCTTCAGACGCCGATTTCCCAACTGGGTTTCTTCTCTTTCTTCTCCTTCTTCTCTTTTTCCTGCTCTGTCCATAATAATAACGCCTTAACCATGTTTGACATTGTAAGGGTTTATCAGAGAGGAATATTTAGCCAGAGAAAGAGAATGTCGGTTTGTTCTTGTGAAGGAGCGTCTGATTATAAATGTGGAAAATACAAGATTTAAGAAGCTTGCTTGTGTGTAGTAATGATTACTAAAGCTTGCACCACAAACTCATGAATGTAGAGCCTCCCTTCTTGGCATCCTTGCAATATTTAAGAGCTTTTTACTTATTTATTATTTATTTTGTTTATTTTTTTCCTTTGCAAAAGATATTTATCCTTTTATACCATGTGTTTTTTTTATTTATATAAAAACTATACCTTTAATTTTTAATCTCATCAAATATATATTTAAATTAAATTTAATAACAAAATTTATATTAATTCTCAATTTTAAACTTAAGAGTTTCTAAAATATCATTAAATAAAAACATAGAAAAAGGAAAAAAAAAACCTAAAAAAAATTAAAACTCACAATTTTGACCTCTAAAATATGTAATATACCATTTAAATGGGTTTTTTTTTTGTTATTAATGTGTTTTTTTTCTCTTTTCTTAAGGACAGTTTAGTCATTTTAAAGGTTAAAATCAATTACTGACCAAGATAAGACATAAATTTGTATATTAAATCTAATTTGAAAGTATACATTTGACGATATTAAAAATTGAAGGTATAGATTTTGAATAAATCTAAAATAAAAGGCATAAAAATAGAAATATCCCATAGAAAAATGGTACATCATAGTTGGTCCCACTTACTTACTTAACGGAATTTATTTTATGTGATTAGCAAAATTTTAACTTTATCAGAATTTTAACTTTATCAGAATAAATAGAATTTTTTTGATAGTTTATTTTACCAGTAGTCACAAACCGTTAAATTTAGTTAAAATCACATCAGATTAAAAAATTATGTAAATGTAAATAGATTTTAATATAAATTTAACTGCTGAAAAATAAAAACTATCGATATTATATTTTTACATGACTACAAGAGAAAGTCTTCAATAAATAAGGGTGCTCTTTGCAAGAATACAACAATAACTTGCTCACTCTATATATGTCATTTTCTTACTATAGCATTGCTTAAAATATGGTCCTAAAATCATAAGTGTATTAATTAATCTAACTTTGTTTCAAAAATATAATAAATAAAGATCATGGGAGTCGTGTAAGCCACGGATCCCTCAATGATGTCTACACCAGTTTTTACTTCAATATTACATTTTCTTTAAACAAACAAGCATCTTTCTCAAGCCAAGAAAAGGTCAGTGCGAATTGACTGTATTACCCTTTATATTATATTTACTAAGATACCCTTCATTGCATATGTTTGTATTTCAATAAATAATATGTTTCCGCTCCACTTTGTCTCTGACACTAGTTTATTCGTTTAATACGAGTTATCTTTCATGTAAAGTGAAATAGAAGAACATTGTTGCCCCCACAAGAAGATGTCAAAATGATTTGGGATTTTGGCTAATCTGCTTTTCCATTTCCGACATCAAAGTGAAAAGTTGAAGACAACTTGACTCCCAATATCATCAAACTTTGAAGGTGAAGGACTTCGCAACTTTTGTCACAAACTTATCCCCAAAAAAAAAAAAAAAAAAAAAAGATTTTCATGGGGGTATTTCTGTAACTTCAGAAGTTACTTCCTTCATTGTATTTTTGTCTTTTCTGGATCGGGTTAGCTTGCATATGACACCCAAAAGATAATATTAATAATAAAAATAAAAAAAATATCAAAAATAAAAAAGAAATAACGTGACAAAGTGGGATAAAAGGAGAAGCTACCTTAGGCGAATTGGTTGGTTCCAAATATCCTCATATTGATAATGTTTCAAGATAACAGAAAAGGATGTTTTTGTCTTTGGGGAAGACTTGAGGAAAAACCTAAGAGGTTGCAAGCCAAATTTGGTCCTTAGAAAGCTAACCCTAGGGATTTACTGGGCCTTTCAGTAAATCCCTCTTGCATGTCAAGCACACGTAGAAAGCATCTGAGCATAGCAAAACCCGGATAAAAACCTGGCGAAATATTATTCATACATCGCAAATAATGAAATCATGATGACCAATCATCATTCGTATGTGTGTTTATTTTGCAACTACAACTCAAGTTTCATCTAAGAGAAAAATATCATAACAAAAAAATTAAATTTAAATTTTTATAAGAGAAAATATTATAATAATAAAATTTAAGTTGTGAAAGAAAATAAGATTTTAAATTTTTTTATTAATTAAAAATTAGACGAAATTTATAACAAGACTTGTATTTTTACTCTATCAGTAGAAACTATATTTTAATCGTATGATTAGTTTTTTAATAATTTAATATAGAGTATGAGTAATTTTTGTCGGACGCTACAAATTTTTAATGTGGACATTCAACGATTGAAAATAATAATTTCTACCGATGAAACAAAATGCACATCTCACTAAACAGGTTCTTAAAAATTGACACACAAAATTGTACTGTAGCCAATGCGTGATAATATTTTCATGTGAAATTGTAAGTAGCTGAAAAAATGTGCTTAATGAGAATTATATGTAGTATTACTCTTCACAACCTGCGCATCTCTGAGAAATAGATAATTCTTTCGTTTCAAAAAGTTTAGGATATATATAGTACTAATAGAGTGTTGCTCACAAAATATGACTTAGATTGGTGTTCTAAGAGTAAGTTATATGTTCTATTTTTGACATTCACGTGAGATTTTTACTTATAAGCTTACGGCTTGTTGTAGATAACTACTAATTCGTTCTTAAGAAACTACAGTCTCATTCATTTCACCGATTCGAGTTTTCAATTCTAGTTTTGTTACACTTAAAAGCTATTTTTGTTACAGTTAAAAACTCTCATATAAAATCACATCTCAGCTCGAATTAAAAACTCAAATTGGCAAATTGAACGAGGCCTACATGTGTACATGACACAATATCTTTAATAAACTATTTGTCTTCATTTTCAACTCTTAAACCTTTTTTTGGTACTGAAATATTATTACTTTTGAAGAGTACTTATCTCCCACACTTGAAGGGTATTCCTTTTTTTTTTTAATCATAGAGGAAGAAAGAGAGAAAAAATAAAAATATTAATGTGCCGCTCTCATCCCCATAACCGTAAGGCTATGTTCAACACATAATTTACATATGATTTTATGTGCCAAAGACATTGTGCCAAAGTAAAAGGGTTTCAAGCTAGTATGCTTACGATTCTAGTCTCTATCTTTGAAATCTTCTATCATGCTTAATATTTCAAGATGAATTGAAATGCGGCTTATTGATTGTGGCTTTTTTTTGTTTTTGGGGTCTTCTTTCTTTTTGTTTTAAGTCAAACACATACTTAAATTTCAATAACTGCATCATTTTTTGGCCCACAAAATTAGTATTCACATGCAAACTTGATCAGTTAGTTAGGATCGTGACCAAAGAAACCTTAAGGACATTTAGTCCTCATTCACTTCGCGGATTCGAGTTTTTAATTCGAGCTGAGATGTGATATTTTCTGAAAGCTTTTTACTGTAACAGAAAAAATAAGATGTGACATTTTCTGAAAGCTTTTTACTGTAAAAATCTAAAACTGAAAACTCGAATCGGTGAAATAAACAAGGCCTTTAAGTATCAAACAACTTTTGAGAGCTTGCTTGTTCCAAATTTGAAAATGACACGAGTTGCAGTTGGTGTCCTCATAATTACGAAATGAGTCTACAACAACTAGACAACTAGTACACTAGTTCTACAATTATGGCCAACTTTCTTTTTGTGACTTTCCTTGCAAGGTTTTATGTATTCCAAATCTCTCCAACAATATTCCATATTCCATATCTCATAGGATGGTCCCGGTTGTTCCAACTGAAAAAAAAAAAAAAAAAAGGACGAAAGAACTCAAGAAAGCCTCCTCCCAACGGCTAGCAATTTGTTTTCTGATGTTGATTGCCTATTTGAAAAGCCCTTGGAGGGAGAAGAAATAACTTAATTTTCAAGTTTTTTAAAATCTTTATTTTCAAGTATTAAAATCTTTATTTTCAAGTTTTTTAAAATCTTTTGGGTTGTTCTTTAGAGTATAACTTGAGTGTAATTTTTGAGTTGAATTTGAGTTATAACTTGAGTTGAAGTTAGAACTTGAATAAAATTGAGTAAAATTGAATAAAGTTGAAACTTAAAAAAACGTGGACTTGAATAAAGTTAAAACTTGAGTTGTCTTTTTTTGAGTTTTTTGGACAAACGAACATGCCCATTATTTTCAAGTTTTTTAAAATCTTTATTTTCAAGTTTTTTAAAATCTTTTGTCTCGTTCACTTCGCGGATTTGAGTTTTTAATTCGAGCTGAGATGTGATATTTTCTGAGAGCTTTTCACTGTAGCAAAAAAAGTTAGATGTGACATTTTTTAAAAGTTTTTTACTGTAAAAACTTAAAATTAAAAACTCGAATCGATAAAATGAACGAGACATTTATTTTCAAGTTTTTTAAAATCTTTATTTTTAAGTTTGTGAACCGTGATACTAATTAAGATTTGTGCGCTCCACTTTTGTAAAGGCTCACATATCATGTACATACACCAACTCCCTCCTTTCCCAATTGGCCTATTTATTTTCGTTCGAAAATTTTGAAATTATTTTAATAAAAAATATCAGCGTATTTGCTTTTCAGGATAGGTTTGCTCTTTCCCAAATGAAGGATACATTCAAGGAAAAATTTCGTTTTAATATCATATATTATATCAAAATATGCATTTAATATAACGTGTTTTTGATAATATTAAGGAGATACCCCTATATTTTAAAAACATTTTATCTCAAGCCCTATTTTGAGACGTAAATGTGAAATTTGTCATTCTCATTAATTAATTAAATACTAATAAATTAAAAAAAATTATAGAAATATTTAAAACATTTAAAAATTAAAAAACAGTAAAAAAAAAACAAAAACACTGACAAAATGAAAGAAAAGCTAAGAATAAAATCAACGAATAAGAACAAATCTGCTTGTTCATCATTTAAACCCAAACCCACCCCCGTGGCGGTTGCCCAGATCTGAGGACCTTCAAATAAATGGAGTTGGGAACTCTAAGGTCGGCCAAAGGGTAATGAGCAAGTGTCGAGAAAGATTAGAAGTGCAAAACATCCTGAACAAGTAATAAATGATGAATAGAGTC